TGTCGTATAGAAGGCTAGAACTTTGTTTGTTGACCAGCGCTGGCTGTAGTGTTTTAAATTTCTGGTGAATCCATTCCAGTTCATTACAGTTCGCCTGTGCTGTGATCATGACACCATGTCTTAAGGAGCTGTAGTGGATTGTACCGACGGCAAACCACCCAACAGTCACAGTAGGTTTCCTCAGGTGAACTTCAGTTTTTTGGCGTATATCGAGGAGATACCTGCTGGTTGAGTCACTGCGCCGACTTTCCTTTATTGTCGTATAGAATTCCCTTTTCGTCACAGGAATGTAATCAAGAAAATGGTTGTTTTTGTTTGGCAGTAGCAGAGAAGAGCATACTTCCACGCATGACATCATCTGATGATCCGAGAGTTCATGGGGGGGGGCATTAATCAAGTTTTCTCATCTTCCCCATTGCTCGCAGGTCATGCCACACGGTATCGTGGTTAATGTCAAATGCCTCAGCTAAATCTGTACGGGACCTTCTGGGAACGTCCTCCATTGGCTCCATCCGGTGATTGTTTATAGGAGCAAAGGATCACCCGCTACGTGGACTATTTTGGAGCATCGCACCTTTCTTTCGGTGCACCGTCGCCAAACGCTGTTTTCATCTTCCGGGCTGCCCCCGTTCCTCGGCGACTTGTTTAGAAGTCATGAAGTGCCGTTAGCCAGAAGTTACTCCGTTCCATGTCCATGAACGAGGACTGAAACATGCAGAGAAAATCAATTCAAAAGCTATTTAGCACATCGAAAGAAGAAAAGGAGATACGGCTTCCATAGCAGCATGTAGCGCGTCCAACCAATTCTGCCAACAACAAAAATACATTACATCAAAGCCAGGTGTCACAAAAGCCGCGGAAACTTTCCCGAAGACCCAATTCAAGGTAAAAATTACGAAGGGTGACAGAATAACCTTCCCCGATTCAAGTCGTCTATTTTAATTGCACCTTCTGATGACCAGCAGCCCGTGGCCGTATTTCGATCCATCGAGGGGTGGCCGAAGAATTGTATCGATACTGACGTGTAAAATTAGATCGCTTGCCTTGGCTTAGCCCACTGGAGCATCGTACCTGATGGGCTTAGTATCTTATTGAATCGTTAGCTGCGAATGTGGCTTTCTGATTGAAAGTCGTTGTGACTCATCAGTTACCTGTTAACCAAATATTTAAACTTAGTTACCAGTTAGTAGTACTGGCTAGGGACTGCTGGACCAGATTAGTAGAGCTGGAAAAACGAAATGCATCATTGCGACGAGATGAAGATGGCTGCATTTAGCAAGCGAAATAAAGTCGTCATATTGGATTCACCAGTTGGAACATCCTACGCGATGAACTCAGGTTACTCTAATTAACCATTAATAAGTATAAGGTGCCAGTGGTTCTGGATGGGGTTGCTAGACTAAAGCAGTGGAACAAGCAAAGTCGATAGAAAAGCGACGAGGTGAAAATGGCTGCATTTAGCAAGCGAAATAAAGGAATGAATGAGCTGCATCGAGGAAGGGAGACTGGATGAAAATGCCCTTCAAATAAAGTCATCATTTTGGATCCGTTTGCTGAACAACCGGAATTTAACTTATCGAAGGAAAATGGAAAACGAGGAACCACATTCTACAAGTGGAAAAATATTCAATAACCACCAAATTGTGAAAGAGTGAGTTTTTGATCAGGCAAATCGTGAATTTTATCGACATAGAAATATTCGGTTCGCCTATGCAGCCTCCCCTAGGCCATTGATTCGATATCTCTATGGGACATTGTCATACTTTGTGTAGAAGAAACGGCATAAATTAACCGTAGTCCAAATCTGTCAAGTAAACGGGAACTTGTGTTGCCTAAGAACATCCCACAATTTTCAGAGCATGGATAACTTACCGTTGATT